GACCGTCAACCTGGCTCGCACCGGCCCCGGCGGAGTACGGCGAGGACCACTCTCTCCAGATGCGCTTCCATCGCTATCCTCGTTCTCCTGGAACCAACTGTCTTCGCTCGCAATGGTCTCCAGGTCCCACGCTTGCTTATTCGTCCTGCACGGGTTAAAGGGTGATGAAAGACGCTGTTGCTCAGGGCCAACGCTCGGTCCGTCGGAGTGTGTTTCTGATATTGTCTCGGGTTGCCGTGGACTTTCGTTTTCGATTGCGCTGCTCGTGGTCGTGATGTTGAGTTTGCTTGGTTTGCGTTCGAGCTTTTTGGCAGATGCTAGGTCTGGTCGCGCCGGCGTTTTCTGCTTAGGCTTCGGCAAGCCGACCGGAACTTGCGGCGTCCCTGGCCTGTCTGGGATGGAAGATAACGCTGTGGATGATGGTGGCGCACGCGACTTGGGCACTTCACGGGCTGCAGGCTGAGGGGTTGGGGTGTCGACCTTCTTCTGAACTGGAAGTTTCTTGACCGGAGGATCAGGTTGTTCAATGATCGGGCGAGGCTTGTAACTGGCCATCAACGGGTCGACTGGTGAGTTCGCCCGGGAAAGCTCGCTTGGTACCTCGGTGATGGGAGTCAACAGAGCCGGGTCATCAATAATCGATATGTCGTCCTCGCTCGGCAGAAAGCTGAACTGGGAAGTAGATATGGGCGGCAACGAACGCGAGGGCATGTCGGGTTGTGAGATTCTGAGGTCTTTCAAGCTCAGTTCCCCAGGTCTTTTGCTCGCGGCGGATTTAAGTAATGGGGTTTTGTCTTCTGTGGCTGGCACACGAGGCACCTGGTGAGATGGGACTGGGGGTCGGGCGTCATCAACTGATTGAAGGGATTCCGGATCTGCCCCAGCACCCGGCCATGGGGTTGGAGGGCGTGATCTCAGCTGGTCGACGGCGCTCTGGGGAGGCGTATCACTGGGATCGCCCAGTCCTTGCGACTCTAGGAATCTCTTGACTTTGTCTCTGGGGCCAACGGCAAATGGAGGGAATGTCGTCAGGTTATCGGCGTCGGCCTGCTGGGGCTGTGAGTGGCCCACTTGGGATTCCGACGAGATCTCTTGCGAAGCACACTTAGAGGCCGTGTTGTGTTTGATTTCCATGGAAGTCTGAGTGGTAGAGGCACGTTGGTTGGTTCGTGGCTTGATCGGAGCCTCTGGCTGCTTCGACGATGACTCCTTAGGTCTGTCAACTTTACCATCCTTCCCGTTCCCCTTGGATGACACTGAAGGACGTTTGCCTTCTACAGAGTGGCAAGCGCCCGACTTCGAAAGTGCCTCACCCGACAAGGCTGCCTGGGCTGGCGATGACAGTACTTTCGAAGTAACGCCTCGCGAGGCTTTCAGTGCCGACGAGCCTGGTACCATTGTCTCGACGCCCGTTCTCGTCTACCGGAGTGCTCTGCCCGTTGCTTAAAAGAGCAGTCTTTCATTCAAAGGCTGGACAAGCTACAGATAATGGCTGGAATGGGGAAATATAGCCATGATATTGCGCGACGCGGCTGCCTCGTCTGGCAGGGGTCTACTAAAAAAATCCCCGTACCAGGCCATAATGATGCCCAATTGATTTACGAGTCGCGTCCACACTCCACCATAGCTCAGCCCAAACCACTCAATCACCGACGAGAAAAATAACGCTGATCGTTTTACACAGTAATGGCAGAAGGTGATTGATGGTTCGGTGGAGCTAGGGCGTCAACGCAACAATGTTGGGGAGCGCAAGCAACACTGAATAGCTCCCTGCAGGTGATTTCCAGAAGCCTAACTGGCTCCACCAGCGACTTAGTGGCTGGCTCTATCGCTTCTGTTCCGTAGAATAGGGTTATTCTAGCGTAATATCACGTCGAGAAAAAGGGGCTCCCGAGACACGGTGGGACCCGAAGAGACATACCGTTAGAGCCCATGTGTTGTTGGCCCACAGCGCCGAGTCCCAAATCCTCTCATTTTTTTTTTTACCGGATTCCTTCGGTTGGTAGCTATCATTTCCTGGTGATATGTATGGCCTTTAGGGCTCAAAAATGGCAACATCGGATGGACTATCGATTTTGGTCTTATCCACCATGATGCCCACCAGGCGACAACACCCAGAGATTCCACTTAGTTTTTTCGACTGAGATGCCTGTTTAGAGTACGATCGTAATTATCAAAGCATTATTAAGCACGTCTCTATCCAGACAATCCATAAATTGTCCGCGTCTACCGCGGCCAGTGTTTTCTCTTTGTTGGGATACTTCTATCCTCTCCATGGCTTCCTTTGTCTTTCTTCCCTTGAAAAAAGAAGACACAAAAAAGAAAAGAAAAGAAAACGGTGCCCAAACTAACTAGATAAGAAAAGAAAAAACATACACATCACTTTCCAACACACAGCCATGCATCTGTGTATGCATCGCAGCCGCCATGCAGATAAGCAAGCTGCAGTATCAAAGCTACTATATCAGGAACGCCGCAACTGCCCAACCCAAATTAACTTTCTGACAATGTAACCCAAAGCTCGTGTCAAGTCGGTTAGAACGTACGTAGCTTTCTTCTAGAAAGGCCAGCTTTGGGCCCACCTTTGGTGCTCGTCCCCTGGTTCTGAGCTCCTGCGCTCCACTGTTCTCTACCCAACCGGTGGGGACTTCGCGGCGTTGGCCATATTTGGCTGTTTCAGATGGGGGTGGTTTTATTTCTTAAGAGCTAATGTGCTGATTTTGTTTATTTGATTGAAGGTCTTATGTGTGTTATGTGGGGGGGTGTGAGGGTCTTGTTGTTTAGCTTGCAGTAGTGTGGTGAGTGTTGACATGGTTGATAGGATGATGCGGTTGTCCATCTCGCTCGTATAGCTGCTCTTTAGAGAGTGTGTCTATACTCTCCGACAGACGGATCAGGATGTTACCAGCATGGAGATCTGCAGTAAATCCAGTATATTAGGAAACATTCGGGGGGGGGGAGAAAAAACACAAACACAACTTCTGGGAAAGGATTCTTACCGCCATAAGCAATACCCTTGGAGTGTAGGAATGCCACAGCCTGGACCAGTTGGGCAACAAAACCCCTGGCTACAGGCAGTTGGAAGAGCCGAAAAGGTGAAGCATCTATGGCCTCGGCCAGACTCATCATTCCTGGTACTGTGACCAAACACTGGTGCGTACCATTCGAGCCAGAAAGAAGGAATTCGTCCAATATAGGTGGAATCAACGCCTTTCCCGGGTGTACATCAGCCTGAGAACGCACGATATCCAGCTTGTGGGTGATGCAGTATCGGTCTTTCAATTGCTTACAGACAAGAGAGTGATAGTGGACGGATTGTATCAGGGAGAATATATGCTTCGGCGGAATTAAACCTCCGTGCCCCTTATACTCACGTGTCCTTGACGTCGTCTGCCCCGCTTATACCTCAGCCTGAATTGTGAATATTGGGCATGTCAGTAACATGATAGAATTTTCTAAATCGCTTAGACACTGATCCTTCTCTTGCCCTTCAGACACTCTCTGGCAAGGAAACATCTTCGCCCTTTCAACTCTTTATCATATCATTTACCACTGAAGAATAACCTTTGGCCGCCATAGCGTTGCTCTTGCGGATGTGCTTGCACTGTACAACGGCTCTTATATATTGGGTTAGACCAGGATTCTCACTCTCCCTGGCATTTCGTGACTGTCCGCGTCGCTACCAGACTTGATATAAGCAGCTCCATAACATTTTATGAAGTAAATCGTCTCTTGAGATTGAAAGTCAGGTAGTCGGTTCCTGCGATCACTTTTGGCTCTTGGGACATACGAAGTTCCGCGCTCTCTCTTTTTGCCCCCTCCCAGTCATGGCCAACAAAGTTGGGGATAAAGCGCTATCTGGAGAAGTGGAATGGATTTCGAACCGCTGCTTTGATGTGGAAGAGCAAATGATTATGACATTTGAAGGAAGGTCATGCAATATTGTCGACACCAAAGGAAATCTTGTCGAAAAGTTGGACACAAACAGTGGGAAAGTGTCAAGAGAGATCTATATAGGATACCGGTGTTATGTTATGAGGGCATGGGTTGAAATTGGAAAAGACGAATAATGAGTGACTAAAGAGTCAAGCCACTCCCTTCCTCTCCTTCATCCCTATCGTGCCCAGTCTGTGGGACTACTGGATCTCCCAACCCAAAGAGATCCGAAACCACAAAAGCCATAATTGTAACCTCTGCTGGCAACAAAGTAAGCGTCTTCATGCGCGGTCTCAGGCAAATATATGGATAAACAGTCCGTGACTGCTAGTCCTCCTCTCTCCTCCTCTTTCATCCAAAGCCTACTTTTCTCCATACCGGAGCGGAATGGCCCAGGGAATTTCTCAATCATATTGCGTCTCATATAAGAAAATGAGCGGGGAACGCGTGATTTAACAGACTCCGAATTGCTAAAAGCAAATCCAAGCTTTGGTAGACAAAATGTCCACATTTGTAAAGTTGCAGGGGTTCAACTTCTCTATCATCGGTCTCCTCCTCCCTTAGACTCGTTTTAGAGACCTTTACTTCCATGGAGATATAGACTAATACGATCCTTGTTCGCTCACCGCATGTTCTTTCAGACAGCAAATAGGTCCTATTCCAAGACGGTGCCTTTGCCCACGTACAGCATGAGTAGTCTTTCTCATGAACATATAGCCTGCTTGGGCCGCTTACAATGATCCCATCCCACAAGGATAATAATACTCATATTAATCTCTGCCTCTTAATGAAATCGGTTGTTGGAATCGAGGCTTCGCAAGCTAGACGGGAATACTTGTCTAGTGCTTATTGTAGATTCAATCTGTCTGCATGTTCAGCTGCTTAAGGGCATGTGATGGCAAATGCGCTTGTACTAAACAGAGTGGGTCATTTGGGCTATGATAATGGTAATTATCTTTTGTCTCTCCTACCTTCTTTTTGGTCGTTACTTCGTTCATGCGGCTCTCCATGTGCTTTTGGGTTCCTACGCATGGTCCAAATGATCGGCTTCATATTCGACTACATCAATAGTCTTCGCTATCAATAAACTCCCATTTGGCCTTCACCGCATGATGCAATTTCCTCATAGGCCAGGCATGGATGGCCTTAGTCTTCTCAATAACAGCCTCCAGTGCTTCTCGTTCCCTCGGATCAGTGAAATACTCGCCGTAAAGTATGATGCTAATCACTGCATTAACCAGGGCGGGCGAGAGGCTCTGGTGGCTGAGACCAATCCCGCAAATGTTGAGCACTATCGATCTGACTTGTGCCTCAACCTTGCGGTGTGCAATGCGGCAATGCGGATCGTTTCTATGAGTCAATCAACAATCAAGCGTTAGGTAAAGAGACGAGGGAAAAGGCTTTAGACGGCAACATACCTAATATTAGGGTTTTCCGCGATCAAGATCATTCGAGCGATTTCATAGTGCTGGGCGCCAAATACTTGTGCACTTGAGCAGTACCACACAGTCGAAAATATCTCCCCCTTGGCCTTATCGGCCTTTTTGTCTAGGATGGGAACGAACTCAGGCATAAGTTCTGTGGTGATCGAGTGCAGTTTTTCCTTTAACACGGCTGCATTCAAGGTAGTCAGCTGCATGTACTCGTTTCAGCAGGACTTGTTGCAGCTCACCCCAGTCTAGTGGCGACCTGTCCCCCAGCCACCATCTCGTTACATCTCCGGCAAATAATATCAGTTTGTTGGCAGAGGAGGCACTCTGGCGCTTATCTTGGTCGGGGGTCATTCGGGGGAATCGCTGCATAGCTAATGCATAGTAGATCTCCTGCCTAATAGCTATCCAGAAGACAGCATTGGCGAAGCTGTGATGCGCAGGTATTGAGACAGTGGTCTCTATGATGGCCTGTATGATGGCAAGGAAATTAACGGGCTGCTGGTCGCGAGCTCCAGTGCTGGTATCAATCTCCTCCTCCTCTTCAATCTCTTCATATTGTCGCAGGATCACGGCAGCTGCCATAATGTTCTCTTGGTATTCTCGGTCACAAACCTTATGGAAGTCTAAGAGCGCGGGTATGCATTCTAGCATATACTCAACCGCGGTAGACGTCGACAGATGGGGAAGAACCTGTCCTTGATAGCTCGGTCCTCTGGATGTTCTGTACTGCGGCAAACGACTGAGGTGGCGCGATGCGACAGCATAGATAGCATTCCGAAGTGGAGGGCAATATCGGGCGCGGTACGGAACCACTACTTGAAAATGTCTCCTGTCATCACAGACGTCAAACTATGCTTCTGTTAGCTTCGGCTTAACATCGCACGCCGTGTATACTATACCCAGGGAGAAAGTTCCTCGATAAAGTACCGCAGAAGACAGGCTTCTTGTACGCTCTCAAATGGTTCGAGGGCCGCATCGCTAGAAGTGGGAGTAGGGCTGTATCCAGACTGAACTGGTACACTGCAAGAATTGGTCCCCTCGCTACTGTCACGGTAACCTATTTCCTCTGGGCTCCCCGACACAGACAGAGCATGGGCCTGAAAGCTTGTATCGGATTCATCTGGTAGCTGGGGGCTGAATCCACTTGTAACCGAATCCTGCAACGACTCATCTTCTCTATATGCAGGTCCAGTTAGACTTGAAACATCATGCGTTAACTGATCAGCTTCGCATGCTGTGATAGCTAAAGCATGTAGACGTTGGTTTGCAGAAGCAGTGAGATCAAAGCAATGGGAGGGCTCTGAAGAGAGCTGTGCTGTTGGGCTCGTGTGAGGATGGTAGAAGGTCCGTGGTCAGTGTGTCCAATGGAATGGTCAAACTGGACATGGCTGACAACAGATCTGCCTGTATCATGTACACGTAGCCGAGCTACGAAAGCCGATCAGTCATCAAAGCCTCGCTAGCTTATTGGAATTCCTCCAGAAGGTTGCTCACCTCGTTTAGGCCTACTGTTCACCCAATGCTGGTCTTCCGAAAAATGGGCAGTGGACCCTTGGCGGAAGATCTGTCTTTTCGATACTACAACACAGTCTAGATTCTTCGCTTCACATCGCCCACACTTTGGTGCTTGCTTATCACCTGTAAGTTAAGCACGCTATGATCAGCATGGTCTCCGGCATTCTATGTATGCACCGATGCAAGGGTGTAGCATCCAATAGCATCCGAATACGAGCCACATTATCTTTCTCTCTTCTTAAGTGTTCAAGAGTTAGGCCTGCACCACTGTCACTAGCACTACTTTAGTCTTACATTTCAGATGTTTGTCTGCCGGGTGAGTTAGTACGAAAGAGCGTATAGGGGAGACTACAACGACTAACCACGGCAATTCCAGCATGGCTCTTGAGCTGCTCGACTCCGCTGCATTGGCATCATCACTCCGTCGGCGACGATATCCAAAAAAGGTTAAACTGATGTAGCAACAAAAAGGTCATGGTCACTGAGTGAAGTTCAAGTTGGCTGAAGACATAAACCGCGGCGGGACCTTCTGTATCGGGAAATCTTGCAGGTCAAATGCGGGGAACAACGCCAACGCCATCTTAGGAAGATTTCTCCGCTGTCACTCTCAACTATACTAGATGTGGAAAATGTCGCCGTGAAGACACTCTTTCGAGTATCAGCTGTGTATAGAACAACAGAAATGAAGCATCACGACGTCGCAGTCCACATACCTGGATAAAATGCTTTCAAGGGTATATATAGGCGGTACCATGTCACGGATAATCTCCAACACAATCAATCATCTTCTGTCAGACAAGTTAGACAGCGAAGGACAATATGGAACAACTCTCGATTGCAGTTGCTGGCCTTGGCCGGATGGTAAGTCTGCAAGCCATAATATCTCGAGATCGGTCCTAACAGAGATACACGCAGGGTAAACGCCACGTCCATACCTTGATCTACCGGGTCCCTCGTGCGCGTGTTGTGGCTGTATGTAGCACAGTGCCCGACGAGGTGGAGTGGGCAAAGAACAACGAAGAGTACAAAGAGTTCGGCATTGCGGTATACAGCAACTACGATGATATGCTGGCTCATCAAGGACTCAATGCCGTTTGGGTCTCCACCAGTACGGATGTGCACGCAAGCCAGACATTGGCTGCCATTGAAAAGGGCATCCACGTCCTCTGTGAAAAGCCATTGAGCACAGATCTGAAGGAGGTATGCAGCAACCACCGGCGGAACCCCAGATCTCTAGATCGCAAAAGAATGCTGATATATTTGGTTCAAATTAGGCTCAGTCTGTTGTCGATATCGCCAACCAGCACCCAGAACTCAAGGTGATGGCTGGCTTCTCCCGCCGATTCGATGCCTCATACCGCGACGCTAGTGACAAGATTTTCCAGGGGCAGGCCATCGGAAGCCCATTCATGGTTCGCTCCAACACTTGCGACCTTCGTGACGACACCGGATTCTTTGTGCGCTATGCAGGCCGCAATGGCGGTATCTTCGTGGATTGTGCCATCCATGACATTGATTTATCCCTTTGGTACTTGGGAAACCCCGTACCAAAGGCCTGCTGGGCCGCTGGAACACTGCAGCACCACCCAGAACTGAAGGATCTGTCGGATGTTGACAACGCCGTGGGAATGGTGGAGTTCTGGGGCGGGAAGATCGCATACTTTTACTGCTCACGAACCCAAGCCCACGGACATGATGTGTGCACAGAGATCACTGGCTCCGATGGCAAGATCATGGTGAATGTCATGCCCCGAAGCAACCATGTGGTGGTCGCCGACAAGTTGGGCATGAGAAACCAAGTGCCGCCCGAGTACTGGCAACGTTTTGAGGACGCTTTTGCTGTGGAAGCAAACGAGTTCACCGAGGCAGTTCTGAAGGACAAGCCTGTACCTTTGCCTCTTGAAAATGGTATCATGGTAATGAAGATTGGCAGAGCTTTGCAGGATGCTCTTCTCACTGGCCAATTGGTGCGATTCGATGAGAACGGAGAGCGTGTTTGAATTGGGTAGCCATAGTTGATTTTGTGAGAGTTGGATGAGAGCTTTTGAGTCAGACCATAAATATAGACCAAAATTTGCTTACTTGAATATTTGCAGTGTGTAGAGCATATCTGTAGTGCATTAAAAGGCTGAGATAGACTAGACTTTTAAAAGAGCTCTTGTGGCTTATAGAATCTGTCTCTTGTATAGAAGGTGAGAGAGGGATTCATTTCAGGACATCATTGGACATGTCTATATGCTCTGAGAACATGTTCTTTCGTATTGCAAGTTACTGTCCATATTGGAGAGTTACATGGCTGGTGTACTGCAGCACCTGCTCCTTGCTATCTACGCAGGAAATGAACCATGTGATCGGAGCTAAAACAATTCATACAAACAATACTGTGGTAAACCTCAGGCTCCAAGTTGTACATCCCCCGGAATCTACCTGATCTACTCCGCGATTCCCCCGCATTTCCCCAGAAAACGATCACCCACGCTACGACTGACAATAGCCGACCAACCAATCATGGCCGGTGCAACAAGAGTTAAATGAATCTAAAAAACAGGCCGCCTCGCCGGGCACTACTGAAAACGGAAATTCTCGATGTTGATGTTGATTCAATGACGTCTACAGGACAAGAATCAATTCCGTGTTTTCAATAACCGTAAACCTTCAACTCGGAAGTCCGATGTAACATATGGATATACCGGTGTATTTAATGACGCCGGGCATCAGTTTGTCTTCGGCACTCTTCAAGAAAAAACCCGGTTGACATTTGATTCAATCGGGATCGCGTCCCCTATTGATGATCATGGCGACGGATATGAAGAAAGACACCAAGCCACACTTTACTTCGGAAGGAGTTTCCACTTCGGAGCATCACGAAACTGTCGCTATCAAACCCGATATAGAACTACAAGAGATACCTGCCTACGGTCCCGATGGCATCCGAGGCCTCGTCAGCTCGGGGTATGTCCTTGGAGCAGCTTTCCTAGCCTCCCTTGGAGGCTTCTCATTTGGATATGACCAAGGAGTGATATCCATTATCAATGTCATGGAGCAGTTTCACGCAGTCTATCCTCAAGCCGAGACAGCCTTCGGCAAAGGGTTAATGACGGGGATGCTGTTGCTCGGAGCGTTTGTAGGCTGTCTCTTCATGCCCTACCTCGCCGATCGAATCTCCCGCAAGTGGGCACTGACCGTAGTCGTCGTGATCTTTGATATCGGGGCCATAATCCAAACCTGCGCGCAAAATTATGCCACGTTAGTGGCAGGAAGAGCCATTGGGGGCATCGGGGTCGGAACACTCGCAATGGTATGTACATGACGCTCGATATACCCGAACGATCCTTACCACACTGGTTCATCTCGCTCACCTGGTCATGGAGGGTGCCCCGCTCTACATCTCCGAGATATCTCCACCCAACCTACGAGGAACGCTGTTGGTGCTGGAGTCCATCTCCATTGTCTCTGGCGTCGTCATCTCATACTGGATTACGTTCGGTACAAGGTTGATCGACAGCGAGGTCTCGTTCCGTCTGCCATTCGGTCTGCAGATGGTGTGTGCAACAATCCTTGGGGTTGGCATCCATTTCTTCCCCTACTCGCCTCGGTGGCTTGCCCTCGTCAACCGCCAACAAGATTGTCTCACCAGTCTGTCCAAACTCCGAGGCCTGCCCGAGACCGATGAACGAGTACAAGCCGAATTCCAAGGCATCATCACTGAGGTCAAATTTCAAGAGCTTATCCAGGAGAGAAGACATCCTGGTCAGCACGGTGTCAAGCGACAGCTACTCGCATGGCGAGACCTATTCGGCCGGAAAGGCTGGCGGAGGACAGTAGTTGGTTGTGGAGTCGCCTTCTTCCAGCAATTCATAGGGATCAACGCGTTTATCTACTACGCGCCTACATTGTTTCAATCCATCGGCCAATCAGACGAGATGTCGCTGATACTGTCGGGCGTCTTCAATGTTCTACAGCTAGTCACCGTCCTTGTCTGCTTCTTGATCATCGATAAGGTTGGACGCCGGCCGTTGGCAATCTTCGGTGGCTTTGCCACCGGAGTCGCGTACATCGTCATCGCCGTTCTATCTGGGCTATATGGGAAAGACTGGTCCGCGCACACCGCTGCCGGCTGGGCCTGTGTCGCCATGGCCTTTCTTTTCATTCTGATTTTCGGCCTCACATACTCTCCTCTTGGCTGGGCCCTACCATCCGAAGTCTTTCCCAACGCGACTCGATCGAAGGGTGTGGCATTGTCGACCAGCACCAACTGGCTCTCCAATTTCATCGTAGGAGTTGCCACGCCTCCCATGATGGAGAATCTCGGCTATCGCACCTATATCTTCTTCGCCGTCTGGTGTGTCATGGCGGGTATCTGGGCACTTATATTTGTCCCCGAAACCAGCGGCAAGACCCTAGAGGAGATTGATGACGTGTTTGGCGATACAAGCGGACACGAAGAGCAAGAGGTGATGAGAGCCGCTGCTCTGTTGACCATGAGGCCGCCGGTGCAGACCACTGTATGAAGAGAAGGATATGATACCCATTAGTTCAGTGTATTCATTTTGTTCAGTTTCTCTCTCATGAGATATATGTAAAGAAGTTACTCCAACACTCCCCTAACCCAGTGATATATATCTCATCAAATTCATGCATATATCATATTCTCTATTGCACATCGCTTCATCAGTATCATCAAATAAACCATCTATCCCACAGCAAACAATCCCCGGCAAAAGACGACCCCAAACCAGACTACAAACTAAACTCCAACCTATTCCCCGCGAAATCCCTCGCAAAAAACCGAGTTGGGTACTCCTCCGTCATCTCACCTGCTCCAAGTCAACAATACCACACATATAGAAGATTAAAAAAGAAAATGGAGGGAAACAAACCAGAAATAGCCTCGCCAGGCTTATCTGCCTCCCTCGGCGCAGCCCGTCCCCCACGGACATGATGGTCCCAAATCCGCTTCTGTAACTTCTGCAAATCCTCCAGGGATCCAATCTTGAAGCAGGGGTGACGCGAGGAATCCATCGATTCGTTGGTACCGAATGCGATATGGACCTGCTGGGGACCTCCTGCGATGTCGAACCTGTATTTGCCGTGTTGATTTCAGATTACTTTAAAAAGAAAAGGAAGAGAGTTCAATGGATGATATCACATACCATGCCGTCGTTTCGACTTGCGCCTGGGGTACTGGACGGGCTGTTAGACCCAGGGTTTGGACGTAGAATTCGTTGGCCTCGGGGAGGGAACCCTCGGGAACGAGGAGGTTAATGTGTGCGAGGCCGGTGATCATGGTGACTCGTTCTTTATAGTGGGGTGTTATGTAGGGTGTTGGTATGAGTTTAATTGAGGCTGAGGGTAAGTGTTGATGAGGGTGAAGTTGGAGTATTCTTTGACTTATATTTATAGGGTTGGGCTTTGCTGGTGGGTTCGATTAGGAAATGATTCCCGGTTCTTGCGTCGGAATCCCTTTCCCGGTGCTTCTGCGGTCATTTCCGCGCGCTTTTCTAAGCCTCTTTATGTGCATCGTGGTTATTTGGCTAGACTATCTCAGTTCCTGTGACAGGGGCATTTATGAGTCATTCTAGATACATATATTTAACTATATTGACTGGTGTTATGTCGTGATTAGCTATGTGACTTTCGTCATTCGGAGTGGAGCAGATTGGAATGTTTGTATATCTTCAAATTACCTATTCTTAGACTAGGGGTCCTATCCGAACTAGGACAAGATCAAGCAAAGATAGAGTCAATTAACGGTAAAGTACTTTATGTCTATTACCCGTCACTTTAGGGCAACTGCTCCTACGTTAAAATATGTTCTCTGATAACTGCACGCATCCGTCTAAACCAAGGAAAAAGTCATCAAATTGTCTAATTGGAATAAACACCTTCTTGCCACTATATACGCCGTCAATCGACTCAACTGAAGGCAGCATATCACATAATTCCCAGAACATAGCGATAGATACACATTATTTTATTTTCATCGGGTCTGCTTCATCTATGCAGATGCGACCATCTTGTCCTTGACATACAAGTCGACATACTTGTCCACATCGTAACCCTCAAGGGCAGACTTGTTCAAGCCCAACTCGAGCAGCTCGTCGATGCGAGCCTGGTCGAAGTGAGCCTGCAAGTGACGCTTGTACTTGGACAGGATCTCGGGCTTGGCCTCTTCGCGGCGCAAACGGTGGCCCAGAGGAGCCTCGACAACGACCTCCTCGAGCACAGTACCGTCGTTCAGGGTGACGGTAAGAGCATTGGGGATGGTGCGCTTGGCTGGGTCGTGGTAGTCCGTGGTGAACTTGGTATCCTCAACGCAGCGAATGCGCTTACGGAGATCCTCAACGAGTGGGGAGGTGGCTGCCTCCGAGCCATCGGCATAGTCGGTGGCGGTAAGGCGGTTGAATGCCAGCATGGTGGCGACCATGTACTACATCACATCAGTTCACTGTTCAACCATCCACCCTCCCACAATTCTTTCAGCTGAGGGCTTACCTGAACGCAGTGGTCACGGTCCGCGAAGTTGTCCATCGCCTTGAACTGCTTGTCGATGATGCGAATGCAAGCTTCGTGGGTGCGGTTGGTGATCTCCTTGATATCCTTGGCGCTCTTGCCCATGGCAGCGAGCTTCTCGTTGATGATCTCGGCGGCTTCGATCGCTGTCTGAGAGTGGAATTCGGCTGCGACACAAATGGTTAGATGTCATCCAAGTTTCGGTGCACGAGCATACATACCAGGATAGGAGACCTTGAAAAGGACGTTCTCCATGACATAGCTGCCATAGGGGCGCTGGAACTTGAACTTATTGCCCTTGAACAGCACATCGTAGAAGCCCCAGACAGGGGCAGAAAGAACAGTGTGCAAACCGCCCTCACCCTTCTGCACCTTAAGCACAAGGTTCACAGCCCGCTGGCAAGCGTCACCGGCAGCCCAGGACTTTCTGGACATGGTGTTGGGGGAGTGTCTGTAAGTCCGAAGACTCTGTCCGTCGACGAACGCCTGGGTGATGGCATCCGCAGTCTGTTTCTCACTGAGGCCGAGCATCTTAGCAACCACAGCGGTTGTCGCGACCTTGACCAGAACAACGTGGTCTAGGCCAACCTTGTTGTAAGAGTTCTCCAGCGCCAGCACACCTTGGATCTCATGGGCCTTGATCATGGCCTCCAGCACTTCCTTGACTTTCACGATCTTACCACCGGCAATGTTGCCGCCCGCGCGGTTGGTCCGGGAGATCCAGTCAGCCACAGCGAGGATACCGCCCAAGTTGTCCGAAGGGTGGCCCCATTCGGCGGCCAACCAGCAGTCATTGTAATCCAGCCAGCGGATCATCGCGCCAATGTTGAACGCACCATTGACAGGGTCGAGCTGGTACGGTGTACCGGGCACACGAGATCCGTTGGGAACAACGGTTCCCTCCACGACGGGACCCAAAAGCTTGGTGCACTCTTTGAATTTCAAGGCTTCCAATCCACAGCCTAGGGTGTCGAGGAAAACAAGACGGGCAGTGTCAAACTGGAATTCAGAAAGTCACAAAAGGTTCATGTTAGACTGATGATGATCTCGTGCGCGTTTAGGGAAGGAATTACGAAAATTAGGCGTGCGAAGTCAGCAGAATTGAGGGAGACATACAGCTAAGTCGGAGTTAACCTCGTAGTTGTGAATATAGTTAGCCATGTCCTGGATTTCAGGATCGTAGGCCTTCTGGGAGGCGCCATCCTGAGCGCTAGACTGAAGAGGTGCCATGGTTGAGAAACGAGAGACTCGAGGAGCGGCCGAGTTCACTGCGCGGAAAGTGTTGAGGGAGGAAAAGGACGAGGTGGCAGATGAGATTCTGGAGACGGAGGAGATGCGGGACTGGAAAGTGCGGGGAGACCGGTGGGTCAGCCGTCTCAACGCCGAACACGAAGCAGACATGATATGATCGTAGGAGGTCAAGAGAGGGTACTAACTCTCAATGATGTATGAGAGGGAGGTCAATTCGGGGGGGGAGGATCGCAGGGGGAGGGTTTAAGTAGAAGAGAGGAGAAAGAGAAAAAGAAAATCCTAGGGGAAAAAAGGAAAGCTAGGGGGAGAAATGGAGAAATGGAGAGAAACTGGAGTTACGATGGACGGTCACCTTTGAGCCGAGGCCGCGCGCCTTGGTTTACTCGCGGCTATTGCCGGTTATGCATCCTTCAACTACTTACTTAACAGACTGCCCATTGATCAATCAGATTCTCGGGATCCATTTATTTCCTTTCGGACAAGGTTCCAACTGATTCTCAACAAATTTGGAAAGTACCATATTCATTTCCACTGGTACTATGGGAACAGAATTTGCCATACCTCTGAAGTCTGAACTCGCAAGGCCCGAAAGAGGGGGTGGATGATTTCATCCAAACAACTTCCGCGGTCGGACGGCATTCTCTTGTTTCCGCGGTTATTATCAATCGGAAAGGACAAGCATGTGGCGGATCAACGTCTCATCTTCTTGTCAACCCGTTGATCAAGCTCCGAGATACGGAAGAAAATAAAGTTCAGGAGAAAGAAACATATTTCCTGCAGCGACAGAGACCGGCATCACCGTCATTCTCTCATATTCCGTCTAACTTCCTCCTCATCCGTTTCCTGCAGTGTCCGAACAATCTCCTTATACATAGCTTCAGCTAGCGAAGGAGGAACGGCATTCCCAATTTGTTTTAAAACCTCATGAGGCCCGAATCGAAAGCTCAGGGGGAACGTCTGTAAACAGGCGTACTCCCGATGGGTGAAGTTCCTTCGACCTGAAGGGTGATAATTCTCGCCTCCATTACAAGTGACTGTTCGAGCTGGCTGGTATGGGTCATAGGGGGGTTTGTTGAAACCACGACTTAGTGCTCCCTGGATGTCATGGTTCGCTGTCCCTAAGGGAATATTGGAAATAGCTTCGTGGATATGAGGGTCCTCCCTCAATCCTGGGCCATGGGAGGGGCGCGGAAAAGGCGGCAGCGTTTCTCCAGGTCTATAAACGATGTCAGTATAACTCGGTAAACACCATCAACTGTCGGGGTTTCCTTACCCAGAAGCAATGACGAGGAGCCTTTTTCGGGTCTGTGGGACTCCGTATTCGTTAAGTCGCAAAATACACCAACGGACGGAGTATCCAATTTCGATGAAGTCATTTATCACCCGATAAAATGTATCGCGGTGCTGACCAAGCGAAAGCAATCCATGCGTTTCCTCCAGAGTATGTACTCGAGGCTTGGCGCGTTTAATCAAATCCAAGGAAGAGAAGATACACGCCGAATTGGCATCGTCGTGAATGCCCTCGATAGTATGAATAGGAGAAAACGTTTGACAGGGTGGCGAGCTGTGGCTGACATCTACCCTCAGAAACTCATCATCACTTGTCAGAAAGCTAAAGATATCACTCAGCTCGCAATATGCATGCTCAAAATTAAGCCGATAGGTAGAGATTGCGTGTTTGGACTTGTCGAATGCCCACTTGTTATAAAGACCGGCTCGGCGAGCGCCACATGAAACTCCTCCGGCACCACAGAAACCGTCACCGAAGGTATACTGCCGCCGTCTCTTTTGCTCTTCCACACTTTCTGTACAGGTGAGGTCAACAACAGGGTCAGAATTGTCTAGCACAATTACAGGTGGCCAGTCTCTAGAGCGGTCCTCTTCGCCAAAAGCTCGTGTCTTCCCCCTCCAAAGTTGGCGTAATATAGCCGGTTCAACCATATGCCCTTCATCGGCTTCCTTAGATGACAAGTACTCTATCGAGACTTCTCCACCTTCTATATTCTCCTTCAAGCGACACCAAAGGTCGCCGGGCAGCTTCTGCTGGTTGCCTCTATCGCAATTGTTGGTGAAGATTATACTAACGAATTTCTTGGCCATATGAAAGGATATGATCTCCGTTATATTCACAATCCAGACAAGTTCATTTTGCTCTTTGGGAACGTAGGTACCGGCGTGATTTCTTGTCTTTATCAGTCTGCGGCCATCGAAATAAATGGCACCCGTGCCATCCTTAAGAATTGTACATATCCGGAGATATGACCCGTCATAAAGCTCAAGTGATTGACCAGCTTTATAAAGTATGCCGTCCACGCATACCTCATGAACAGGCACTCTTGTTTGCTCATGGTTTCCCTCAGCCGATGTCGCCACTCCTGGACTTGGAGTGTTCAGCTGGTAATTTTCAAGGAGTAACTCAAATTCTTCATCGGTACGGTAATCATCCTTATCAAAGGTGTGAAATGTCGGATTGGTCAGGTCGGCCAGCTCGCGCAGGTTTGTTGCTGCGTTTGAGGACAGCAAAAAGGGTGTTGGGTCTCGAGGACGATGCTCCGAGATGATCACCACATCATCGGCATGGTGAAGCCTTTCCGAACCATCGCCAAGAGTAACGCTACTATCTGTATCACTATCATCAACCTCCAGGGTCGTCGCTCTGGGATCCGCTATCTCAAGAATTGATGGCTCACGAGCTTGGATTGAGAACATCTTTGGCAATTATCTTAATGCCTTTATGATGGGTGTGAGGCTTTGGATGTAAATACAATGGAAAGGCTCTTCGGTGATCTAAAGCAATATAGGTTGAGGTGTTAATGTAATGAGTTGAAGATCGAGAGAGAGGGGCATGACATGATAATAGGGATTTGGGTACAAAGTATAATGAGATGGAAGTGAGAGAGAAACACAGAAGTTGAGCTGATGACTCCTTCTAGCTATTCACATTTATTAATACTGCTCGCTAGCCTAAGGCCATACATGTTTGAGATATAACACATCTTGTCACAGCAAGTTGGAGAGAGGTGAGTACTACAAAGAATGGAAACAAAGAAAGACAATACAGCAAACATAGATGGAGTGAAAGAAGAGAAGACAATGCGAAGGTATAGTGTCTAGCCATGCTTCAGTATACTCTTGATATCTTAGTTTGTCTACAAGTGTCTATGGAAAGGCCTATATCTAATTAGAACATACTCACAGTGGATCACTTGCTCTGGATTCAATGATCCATCCATTGAGGGCTAGATATCCATATCCGGAAAGGTTGAAACTGCGCAGGGGAAGGATGCTGACTAACTGGTCACGAGACCAACCAGGCTCTGGGTAGGATCGGTGGCCACGTGAGGGGTCAACCCCTCCGGCGGTTGAGATTTCTCCGGTCCGTTAACGGAGCGGCACCCGCAAATTTTCTGTCTTTTACTGTGGAGAAGTCGAGGAAAAAAAATCGGAAAGTCGGACTAGGCAAAAGAAAGGACCAAAGGATTAAAACCTGGTGGCTTCTTCTCCCTTGCCTCTCCCTCACTCTTTCTCTCTCCTTTAACCTTCTCTTCACCATGCCACCACTTGGTCCTTCAATCCCTCCGTGGGTGTGATTTACTACCAGTTATCACCTATTACAGTCTCTCCTTATTCTCTATGAATATTGTTATGTTTCGATAGAGTCAAACTTGGTTCCAATTTTTCCAACTCTGTCCCCCCACCATTGCGTGTCTGTGTGACAATTTGATCCATCTTCCAAGCATGTGAGTTATCTGGTGTAATCCCCCGCCTGGCTATCAATCAATATACCCCTCCTTTCATGATGAATTTCGGTATTTTTTTTATAGATGTTAGACTTCCTAAGCATAATTGCGGAGAAAATCCGACCTGATCTTATGTTCGATGCTATTCATATTGTCTCGCAGCTCAACCAACCGTGAGAGCATTGGCTAATCATAAGCATCCGCTAGAATCCGATTACATTCACAAGATGTGTGGTATCATTGCTCTGATCCAGGCGAACCCGTCGTCTTCCGCCGCCGTTGACCTCCACGAGGCGCTATACCTGCTCCAACATAGAGGCCAGGATGCTGCTGGAATCGCCACCTGTGCTTCAGGTGGTCGGATCTACCAGCTAAAGTCGAACGGTATGGCGGCCAAGGTTTTCCACGACGGTTCTAGGGTGGCGGACCTTCCGGGATTCATGGGCATTGGTCACTTGAGATATCCCACCGCCGGAAGCAGTGCGAATGCCGAGGCTCAGCCTTTCTATGTCAACAGTCCGTATGGCATTTGTCTGGCCCACAACGGCAACCTGATCAATGCTCCGGAGCTCAAGAGATATCTGGACTTTGAGGCTCACCGTCATATCAACACTGATAGTGACAGCGAGCTCATGCTCAACGTCTTCGCTGATGAGTTGAGCGAAACCAAGAAGGCACGGGTCAACAAGGATGACGTCTTTGCCAGTCTCAGCCGGATGTATGAGAGATGTCAGGGCGGCTGGGCATGCACTGCTATGCTAGCTGGTAAGTAATTCAGCCAATTCGAGTGCTGGAGTCAAGAATAAAAATGCTAACCTTGGCAGGCTTTGGTCTCGTCGGTTTCCGTGACTCCTATGGCATCCGTCCCTTGGTTCTTGGTTCCAGGCCTTCCGCCGAAGGCCAAGGCACGGATACATGATGGCCTCCGAATCTGTTGCTCTGCACCAGCTTGGCTTCACTAACATCCGTGACATCCAACCTGGTGAAGCGGTCATCATTGAAAAGGGCGGCGAGCCTGTGTTCCGCCAGGTCGCCCCGAAGATGGCCTATGCTCCTGATATTTTCGAGTATGTCTACTTCGCGCGTCCCGATTCCGTTATCGATGGCATCAGCGTGTACCGTAGCCGTCAACGGATGGGTGATCGCCTTGCCGCCAGGATTCTTGATGTTCTTGGACCGGAAGTGGTCAAGGACATTGATGTCGTCATCCCTATCCCGGAGACTTCCACGACGTCCGCCGCGGCCGTCGCTCGGTATCTCGACATTCCCTACTGCCAAGGCTTTGTAAAGAATCGCTACGTTTTCCGTACATTCATCATGCCTGAGCAGAAGACCCGACAGAAGGGTGTTCGCCGCAAGCTGAATGCTATGCAAGCAGAATTCAAGGACCGAAATGTCCTTCTGGTTGACGACAGCATCGTGCGAGGAACTACCAGTCGGGAAATTGTCACCATGGCAAGAGAAGCTGGTGCTAAGAAGGTTTATTTTGCCAGCTGCGCACCGGAAATCACGTAAGTTGTCTACAACATTCTTTGAGGCATGAGCACGTTGCTAATCATCTCCACAGACATGCTCATATCTATGGTATTGATCTTGCGTCGCCCAACGAGTTGGTTGCGCATAACCGTGACGCTGAGCAGATCGCCAAGCACATTGGTGCCGACAGTGTCATCTTCCAGACCTTGTCTGACCTGAAAGGTGCTTGTGCGGAGATTGCCCAGGAGAATGGGTTGGCTGAACCGCAGAACTTTGAGGTCGGCGTGTTCTGTGGTAACTACGTCACTCCTGTTTCTGAGGGATACTTTGATCACCTGGAAAAGATCAGAGGCGAAGGCCGCAAGATTAAGGCTTTGGATCGGGCTAAGGAAGCCGTCACTCATGGCTTTGCTAGTGAGAAGGATTTCCAGATCGCTGCCAACGGCGTCAAATTGGATGCCAGCGGCAACATCATCCCAGCGTCGACCCCGGGAGAGTCTGAGGTGCCACAGGTCAGCCTCTGTAGCACTCGCGAACCCGCGAGCGAAGAGCATCCTAAGGTCAAGGATCGAATGGATATTAGCATCCACAACATGGGCGATCACCCATGATCACTGATGAGTTTATGGACAGTATCTTCATATCATCTGGAGTCCTGGAGTTGGTAGGCGGTGGATAAAGAGAACGGAAGGCTATCTGCTTGATGATGGTTATCGCATCGCAATAGCAAAGGGATCCAAGATACCCTTTTGTATGCACGACATGACCTATAGACTTTATTTTTATGACGAACAAAGTTTGCTTCTGGCATTAAATAGCAAGTGCTTCAGTGAAGATGATGCGGATGTAATTTATCCCGATCACGTGAAGGTGATGCTTGTCACCAGCCCACTCAGTATAACTGACGCCCATACCTAATACTATCTATGATTCCCTCCATCGAATCACCCAATTTATGTTCTATGTCCCTATCTATAGCTATAACTTAGAACACTCGTGATACCTGGTGGAAAACTTCGTTGTGTCGTCACTACCAGGCAGTCGCACGCACAACCCACTACTTCTCTTGGTTCGAAGAACTATTCGGTGGCGCAGGATTATCATGGAACGTCGCATAACAAGGTCTGCTGCTGCCAAAGAAGCTGCAATACTAGCATCCGCAATAAAGACGTCAGAGAAGGAATTCGCCACTAAGCCGCCCAATTTGCAAGATGAACTACCCAACCAACAGTCGTCATCCTTGGGAAACAAACCAAAGATTGGGCCTGCTTCAAAACGGCGCAAGACAAAACTTTCGGCTTCAGAGATTAATGCTGCGAATGAGCTACCTCATAACCTAGGCTCGTCCGTTAAACCAACGTATAAGACCAAGGCCGTATCCCCGGGAGTCAAGAAGGAGACGATAGGCACTCTTGCGGATGAACTGGAAAGTACCGCTGAGAAAGCCAGTGCAGTACCAAGGTCAGCGTCAACAGGTAAAAGCAAGAAGGCCAATCCATATCGTTTAACACCAGGAATTACTCCATTCCCAGATTGGCCCCATCCAACCCCCGATGCCTGCGAAGAGGTTAATAGACTACTCTCCAGTGTACATGGAGAGATTGTTCCCCCCGCTACTATTCCAGAGCCGTCTCTCACCGTAACAGGTTGTGGAGAGGTTCCCTCTGTTCTGGATGCGCTTATTCGAACTTTGCTTAGTGGTGCCACATCAGGAAACAATTCTGCGTTGGCTTTCAATGGGCTGGTGCAGAAGTTCGGCATCCTCCACGAAGGGATTGGCAAAGGGAGTGTTAACTGGGATGCCGTTCGTCAAGCGCCACTTAAAGATGTATTTGAAGCTATCAAGAGGGGTGGCTTGGCTGATATCAAGAGCAAGAGCCTTAAGGCCATTTTAGATATGGTACACAATGAAAACCAGGAGCGTCGGGAAATTTTAGTGAAAGGCGAGGATGCTGGACCATCGGATCTCATGCAGAAGTCTGAAGGCAGCAAACAGTACGAGATTGCATGTGCAGATCAACACTTCCTGTCGCTTAACCACCTCCACGCCCTGAACACAGAACAGGTTATGGAGGAACTAGTCAAGTACCCCGGGATTGGACCCAAAACAGCTGCCTGTGTCCTACTCTTCTGCCTACAGCGTCCATGCTTTGCAGTTGACACCCACATCTTCCGCATCTGCAAATGGCTCGGCTGGGTACCGCCGGACAAGGCGACAGAGATTACAGCATTCGGCCATCTCGAGGTGCGGATCCCGAATCACCTCAAATACTCTCTTCATCAGCTCTTCATCCGTCATGGAAAAACTTGTCCAAGATGCCGAGCAATAACTGGGCAGTCTTCCGCTGGATGGGACGAAGGCTGCGTCATTGATCACCTTGTGAAAAGGACCGGGAAGAGAAAGGGGGAACTCGCGACCTCGCCGCCCGTCAAGCGTAAGAGCAATGGACGGCAGACCCGCAATGCGAAGGTGTGAGAGACGGTCGAAAGATATATAATTTTCCATGTAGATAGACAATCTGACAAGTTTCCGCTTATGGGGAAACTTACGCACCTTTCAAAAGTAAGACAACAGGTGAATGTACGGGGACTAATTCAAGTACTGATAGAGGACATGTTTGCTTGACCTTCACGGTGGATCCTAAACAAGGGAAAAGAGATATATATTGTCTGATGGGCCATTCTATACTATAGTATGGGTGGCACGTGCACCCCTATCGGAGTATCGGAGTGTCTGATAAAACAATGGGACCACTTCCGCTGCGCATTTCCGTCTCCCACATTTGCCCGCCTCCTGAAACCTTCCAGACAGGTTCCTGGAGCTCAATTGCAGCTGTCTGGATTTCAAAATGGAGGCCCTAACCCCGTATATTCCTCCAGCTCTCCTTCCCCTCGCGGAAACTCTTCGCGATCAAGCTCCCTTGGTGGGTGTCGCCCTTGTCTCGCTCGGCGCGATATACCTAGGATATCTTTACCTACTGGGAAGAAACGAAGCTGCCGTGGCATTCAACGTGCCAATTCCACCTGAAGTCCGTGCCAATTGGAAAGGTAAAAAGTGGGAAGATGTTCAGGGAGAGGAGAAAAAGGTGCTTGAAGGTCAACTTAGAGGGGTAAGTTTACTCGTCTTCAAATTAGTCGTTTTGGAGGGGTGTCAGTGGCTAACTTTAGTTTTCCCTTCTATAGTCGTGGAACGACAAAGTCATCCTAAGCTATTGTCCTGCGGATGGAAGAATACTTGGTAACGGAATCAAACCTGCAACAACTGAAGACGTCGACCGAGCGATCCAAGCAGCGAAGAAGGCTCAAATTGAATGGGCTGGGACTAGCTTTGCTGAAAGGAGGAAGGTTTTGCGGACATTGCTGAAGTGTGTTCCATACATAGCCTCGATTGCTGCGGTCAAGAAATGTAGCTAACTGAGCCCACTTGGACAACAGATATGTGCTCGAGCACCAAGAAGAACTTGTCACCGCTTGTTGTTTGGATTCTGGAAAGACTAAAGTCGATGCTTCATTTGGGGAAATCCTTGTGACAGCAGAGAAGTTGAAATGGACAATTGATCACGGCGAGAAGGCATTGACGCCCGAATCGAGGCCCACGAATTTCCTGATGATGTACAAGAAGAACATGGTCACGTATGAGCCTCTTGGAGTGGTGTCGGCTTGCGTCTCTTGGAATTATCCTCTCCATAACTTCATCGGCCCGATCATCAGTGGTATCTTTGCAGGAAACGGTGTGGTAGTAAAACCATCGGAGCAAACTGCATGGTCCTCGGCTTTCTTTCTGGAAGTCGTGAGAGGTGCTCTTTCGGCATGCGGTCACTCTCGCGATCTTGTACAGAGCGTCGTCTGCTTGCCTGACGTTGCTGATTTCTTGACTTCACATCCGGATATCGCCCAGTTGACCTTCATTGGATCGAGACCGGTCGCACACAAGGTTTGCGAGTCAGCAGCAAAGGCACTGACTCCAGTGACTGTTGAACTGGGCGGCAAGGACCCCGCTGTCATTCTGGACGATCCCAGAACAGTGAGCGAGATCTCATCTATCGCGTCCATTCTCATGCGAGGTGTCTTCCAATCCGCTGGACAAAACTGCATTGGCGTTGAGCGGGTCATTGCCTTGCCTGGAGTGTATGACAAGCTTCTGAATGATGTGTCTTCACGCATTAAGCCATTCCGTCTTGGTTCCGTCCTCCTTGAGTCCAACCCCGAAGATCCTCAGCAGAAACCCGGCGCTCCAGACATGGGCGCTTTAATCTCCCCGGCCTCCTTCGACCGCCTGGAATCGTTGATCACCGACGCAGTCCGACAAGGCGCGAGCCTTATCTGTGGTGGGAAACGTGTTGATCACCCGAAGTATCCCCATGGCCATTACTTTGCGCCCACTCTCCTTGCGGACGTAACGCCTTCCATGCGGATCGCTCAAACCGAACTTTTCGCCCCAGTATTTCTCCTCATGCGCGCAGACTCCGTGCCCCACGCCATTGCCATTGCAAACTCAACGGAATACGCTCTTGGCGCTAGCGTCTTCGGCTACAACCATATTGATGTCGCAACCTGTGTCTCGAACATCAAAGCGGGAATGGTATCTGTCAACGATTTTGGAAGCTACTATGCTGTGCAGCTGCCTTTCGGTGGCGTCAAGGGATCGGGATACGGCCGCTTTGCGGGAGAAGAAGGACTGCGTGGCGTGAGCAATATCAAGGCCCTCTGCGTTGACCGGTTTCCCAAGCTAATGGCGACTCGCATTCCGCCACGCGTGGATTATCCTATCTACAAAGCAGATGGTAGTCGTCAGAATGGGACCGGCGCCTGGGAAATGTGTAAGGGTGTCGTTGAAACAGGGTACCAGCTGACTCTGGCCGGAAGAGTTACTGGTATCCTACGACTGTTGAAGAACATGTAGGTTGGGGTATACGATTTTTATTAATTCAGCAATGTCACCAGCGACATTGAATCTATGTTCTATGTACAATATCATATAATACAACATGGCGAAAACAACGTATCATAATCCAACAATCATACCGTGCATAGTAAAGAACTCCCTACAGCGCCTTCCACTGGCTCTCAAAATCATGCGAGGTTTCTTCCATCCAACTCCCCAATTCCTCCACCCCCAAAACCTCATTCAGATACCGTCTCGCCAACTCCACCTGTCCATTCGCTCTCCCCAGATAAAACACCGCCCCTTCAGCCGGATTAGCATTCGCCGTTTCAATCCGCTGCGGCAGCTGCAACATAAGATCCAGAAGCCACCGTCCAAACGAATCATCCAGATCCATAGCCCACTGCGTGATAACCGAATCATCAGCCGGGACCGACTCCGCACAGGCGCGGACAAGAAGCTGGAACAGCGCCGGCTCATTCCGCGCAACCCGCACAGCCGTCCGAAAATGCTCCGCCGGAATCATATACGGCACGCTATTCGTCGCCGTGACGTTCGTATTCCTACACCGGAAATGATACTCATCGATCTTGAGCAAGGACGTAAGCGCCTCGGCATTGTGTTCTACCAACGCCGCATGGATCCCCTTCTGCAGGGCGTCGCGCGACAACGTAACATGCGTCTCCATGAGCTCGGCGGTATTGAACCCGCTCGCCAGTCGCAGCGTCTCGAGGTAAGCAATCGTAGCGGGCGTGAACCCGTTCCCGCCCCTGAGGAGCCGTTCCGGGAACTCCGTGATGCCGAGGATGCGGTGCGTCTGGGCCGTCTCTGTTTCGTGGCAGGTAACCGTGACAGACACGAGAGGTGATACGGACAGTGTGTAGTGGTTGTTATCTTTATCCGTGCCTTCGAACCTCCGCGTCTCGTCTTCGTCATCCTCGCGCGCAAGGAACCGTCTCAGCTTCTCCTCCTGGTCTGCTGCCATGCTGATCCCCGCGCTGAACCAGTATCGCTGGATACTGAGACCCATCAGATCCGGGAATCGACTCTGAAGCCGTTGCACCGTGCACCACTTGCACCGCAATATGGCACTCTGCAGCGCGCCGCGCTCGCTGAGATCGAGCGGGATGTAATCCAACGGCCGCAGGATCTTCGCGATTTCCGTTGCGGAGACGGCATCGAAGGGTCCAGTCGCGGAGGGGACATCGTTCCAGAAAGCCAGAAGGATCAATGCGCGGTAGATCCGCTCGCTGGACACCGTTGCGGCGAGGGACGCCGACGCCCGGGGCAGATTGACGTTCAGCGAGTGCAGGAAGATCTTCTCGATCAGCTCCACCGGTAGGGTCTCCAGACGGCTGAGGTGCTTGCGCGGTTGTTTCGGCGGTTTGGCGATCAGATGGCGCGCGCGTTTGAGCGCTTGGCTTTGCGAGGAGAGGCTGTATCGTTCGCCCAACGACAGTAGTCGTCGGCCGCCGCGGCGTTTGAGCGCTTGGGGTGCAGTGGTCCTGCATCGTCGCTGGGAGCAGGGCGTCTTTTTCTGCGGCCGCGCACTCGGATCGGCGTGAGCATGCCCGGCGGCGCGGAGCGGGTGGTTGGTCGCTCAGTTGTTGTTGTCGCGGGCCATTGGGTGGGAGGGGAGGGTATCGGGCATGGCGGGGAGTTGTTGTTGATATCAGTCAGGTTTTATTGCTGGGTTCATTCGCTGTTGATATGATGTGGTCGGGATAGAATTGTTGGTGCCTGAGGCTCTGTGTCCTGATGTTAAGGCGGCAAGACTGGCAGTATATCCGATCACCAGGAACGAACCCATAGGGCTGTCCAGCCACCTGACAAGCCCTACCTTAGTCATCCAACTCGCGTTCCTCACACCTGGCACATGACGTCAGACGCAACCCAAACGCTGTCCAAGGAACTCGTTCCTTCCATAGAACAATAACAGTCCACAATAAGATTCCAACAGGACGAGTTTAATTGCCAGGTGGCGAATGCGGATTCAGTGGCCTGCCGATCGGTAGGTCATGATGCTCGTGTCCTTGCCTGATTCGGCGGGTGTGAATCCGGACCGGATTCTGGCTCCATGTCAGTATGACGAAGATGGCGGTCAGGATTGCAAGCTGATGGGCTGTGGATTAAGTATGCGCGGTAAGGGCTTGTCATTGCTGTTTGTTGGTGACATACATCATTGGTGTTGCGTGGTGGTGAATGAGGTATTGGGGGTGGATGATGTAGATATATATATGTCGTGCTGGTCTGGGTTTCACTCGAAGGCCAGAACAATTCGAAGTACATTATTTCACTCTACTATAGAAAGAGAATCGCAATACATAACTACGCTATCTCTTCAAAGAACTTTCAAGATATCGTTCAGTGATTTTGTCTAAACCCGAGAACAATTTGAAACCTGTGACTTAACCATTGATATCTATTCAAAATGGGTGCTGTTGTGTCCTGTGTATGTTGTCCTTTATTCCCCTTCACTCTTCCCTTATCAGAAAAAGATTCTAACGTCCGGTAACAGATCCAAAGCGTCTTCCACGCCATCGGTGCCTGTCTCATGGGCATCGTCAATACCATCGGCTCCGTCTGCAAAGCAATCATAGACGGCGTCGTCACCCTCTTAGACGTGATCATCTCCTGTCTGACCTGCGGCTACTGTGGACGGCGGAGGAGAGGAACAACGCGGACACGGCGGTCCAGGATCTAAGTTGTGAACCGCGGCGCGCGATGAGTTACGATGGATACGCATGATGTTTCGCCTTTGGTTTCTATCGGCTTTTGTGTTTTCAGTTCTATTCCCCACAAGTGTATTATAACAATGCAATCTTAATAGAAGCGCATGCTGATTAAACATTTTATCATATATGGCTGGTTCCCGCTTTAGATATCAATTGATCTTTGAGATGTAGCAGATTGGCAGGGATCTCCTCCCAGCGTTGCTCGACCAGTAGTTTGATGAATGGGTCGTCATACTCGTCTGCGTACTTCAATGCCACCTGGAAGTGGTTTGGGAGGACAGGCCAGCGCACTGGGTATTTGTAGCACTGGCAGCGGATGTGCATGTGGATGAGTCGCTGGAAGGTCGCAAAATCACGGTCCCGAATGACCTGGCGAAGGATACGCCGCGAACGGGTGAAGGTATCGTCTGTGTCGATGTACGCGTCCATAGAGAGCAATTGGAGAAATTCAAGCTTCGTGTCGGTCCAAGGTCGGCCGAGCAGTTTGTTGGGCATGCGAGCGGGCAGATCCGGCAAGCAGTATGGAAGGCGAAAGACATCCAAGTCGGTGACGAGCTTGTTGGGCTTGCGGACCTGGAACGCCCCGAAATGAAACCACACGGCGACTTTGTAGTCTACGTCGGTGTTTCGGTCGCGAGCTTTCAGAATCAAATCGCCTTTGCTGCGGCTTCCTCCCCAGCCTTTGTCGCAATTTTCTAGGTTACTGAAGCGACTGCTGATGTTGGCTAGAGCAGAGTGATCTTCAGGGGCCAGGTCTAGGTTTCGACATTTGCGGCGGATGGCATGTTCCACGTACTCCCTTTGGCATTTGCGCATCAGGGGTAGTGTGCACCAACGAGAAGCCAGAATTTCATTTTGAAGATCCCTTCTCTGAGATTCAGACAGCGCAAAGAAGGCCAGAGGCGGTGGTAGAAAGTCTGGAGTAAAGAAGTCTCTCTTTGAGCTCTCGTTGGCGCTGCTGAAGGCAAGTCGGATAAGCCAAGTGTAGACCGTGGGATCAGAAAGAACCCTGGAGATGTACAGAGAGGCCCGTGGGAGATTGAATTCAAGGCAACGGAAGAAGATCTCCTGAATTATCTCCACGGGTAGATTTTCGAGGTGACACCGGTTCTGACCCGGTGGTGACAGTTGATTCATCTGCCTGATGGACCCGTTTAAGGAGGTTAGTCGAGCAGGGGCTCTCTGATAGAATCCAACTAGTGCTCATGGAATATTGTCTTTTAGTAGTCTCTATCAAACAAGAGACGGATGGGATATAGGGATCCCTTCGTCATCTCTTATGCCCGTGCCTGACTGATCATCAACGGACAAATTGTGGGAAATCCACCACAAGGCTGCCGAGTGACCAGATGAATTGCCTGGCTGTCTGATCACAGGGTAAATACCAGGGTGGGCGCTCACAGCAGCCAGTCTCCGGACCGCAAGAGATGCGGGGCTCGGATCACTTGTCCCTGGTGGAGGATCCAGAATAAGCTGTGTGATCTATAGTATTGCAATTAAGCGCTGTGAGTCATCTTAGCCCGGGCGTTACGCAGCAGTGCTGGGATATAAAGTGTATTAGAGAAGTCGGGCGTGACGCGTAGGAATCGGTCAAGAGTGAAGTTCAACCGCCCCAAGGCGGAACTAAACAAAAACTCCCTGAGGCCCCGATATTTGTCAGGTTTATGTCGGACAAAGCAGTAATCGCTCTGAACACCTTGGACTAGAATATATAGAATCCTCTCGCGTATTCAGATCCGTAGAATATATTTATGTGAAGAGAGCCGGAAACAAAAGACCTAGGCCCATAATACCTACCGTGGGATATCACTAAACCATACTTGTCGCTTAGTAGATATTCATAAGCTGTACGGTAGAGGAGAGCAGATGATAGGATTCTCAATCCACTAGTGCTATAGAAGAGGACTCTCTTGCAGTATTCATCGACGGGCTGAACATCGTTTACGGATGCGAAAAAACAAGGCTGTAGGTTAATGTAGGAAACCATCTTCTAAATTGCACATTGTTTCTATACACGTCCCACAACCAAGTTCACACTGCCAGACGCAAAGGGTATCCTAGCTGGCCAACATGCTTGACAAAAGAAAATCCCGTCGTGTGATGACACTGGTCGAAGGAGAAAAGAGGCGTAAAAGGACAGATAATGCTGATAGTTTAGACAACAGACATATCGCCGAAGCGCTCCTGAAAGGGAGAACGAATATTAGTATGCGTATGACCATACATTCGGATATGGACAAGTCTTACCTTGTAACCAGCCGGCATCCAGCGGCCCTTGCTGACCATAGAGGCGGTCTTCTCATCAATCTCAGGCTGGGCAGAGGCAACCTCATCCTGTAGAACAGAAAGACAAATGGGTTAGTATATATATACCCCCGCCAAATCGGCATACGCAATTCATCGAAGCCAAAACATACCACAGTGAGCTCATCGAATGGCCGGGCGGTCTCGATGTTCTGGAGGGTCTTCTCGAGGCTGCGGAGCTCGGCCTCAACCTTGCCCTTGGTCTCCTCAGCGCTCTGAACGGCCTGGGCCTCGAAGGCATCGATGGCCTTCAGCTGACGGGAAACATCGTAGGTAGCGGGCTTGAAGGTCTTGAACTGGTTCTCGATCTCGTCGACGATGGCCTGGTTCTTCAGGACCTTGCGGTAGTGGGCGAAGTCGATGGTCTGGGGCTGTTCGGACAGAAGCTGAACCTTGCGACGGGCATCGTCGTTCCTCTTCTTGAAAGCCTGGAGAGAGGCAGCGGTCTGGCCGCGGAGGCCGAGGGAGCTGGTCACCTTGACCCAGTCAATCTTAAGAGCGGCGCTGCGCTGTTCACGAACCGTTAGCGGACTTGAATTTTTCTGCGACCAATCCTAGCCAAAGAATCAGGGCGAAATTGACATACGGCAGCCATTTTGAAGTGTGGATTGGAGGGATATCGGTGGGAGAGGGGAGTTCAACGTGCAAAGACTGAGGTTCCGGGAGTGAGGATCAACTCGGCAAAGGTTTGGAATGGGGATGTTCCTCACGTGACCCATGCGTTCCCGTGTTCCGAACACACACGATTACGGCCAAGAAACAGGAGTACGCTGTAAGTATGGATAAGGCGCTATGATTGACCTTTCTATATGAATCCCATGGACCCAACTCTTAGTCCTATAATTTTTCTATGTTTGCAATATTCGGAGAGAATACGTCTAGAGATTTACTGACAATTTGCGGAAGCATTGGGTCGTTCAATTCTGCTTTTTTGTTTTGAACTCTTGATTTACACTAGGGCCTGACAGAACATGCATCCTAGGGGATATCAACCTGATCTCTCACCCAAAGCCATCCTGCCAGCAGGGCTAAGAGACATCAGCCACTGATAGCGCGAAATTAAATGGGCAACGCTTATATGCTGAGCGCCATGATGGAGTTCACGATATCATTGTCGTTCTCACGAAGAGCCTTGACAGCCTTCTTGCGCGACACGTTGGCCTGAGCCATGACGAGCTCGATGTCCTTAGCCTCAAGGCCGGTCTCGTCGACGGGCTCGCCATCATCCTCTTCTTCCTCCTTCTTGGTCTCGGGCTCGGGGACCTTGGTGCCGAGGTCGTGCTCGTGGTCGTGACCAGCGTGCTCACCGGCGCAGCCTCAGCGGCAGCGAGCTGCTGAGCAGCGGAAGCCTGGGCCTGGGAGTTCAGGTCCTCGATCTTAGCCTCACCGAAGATGCTGTGCAACATGTAAGCCAACGAATACATCTTTCATGATTCAAAGAAAAACATACATCCAGGTGTTGCTGGAGGGGGAACGGTAGACATCGGGCTGGTTGATGACGAAGAGGATCTGTAAGAGACACATTAGCCTCTGCATTCACACCCATCGCCAACTCGAGCACAGGGACTGTTGAGCATCGGACGGAGGCGGGGTAGGTCGAGCTTCATACGTTCTTGGGTCTGCGGAGAGTGACACGAGTGATGCCGGGAACGTGCTTCAGGCCGAGCTTGCCAATGGCCTTGCGAGCCTTCTTCTCGTTACGAGAGTGGATGGTGACGGCGGCACCGGCGGGAATGTTGGCCTCCTCGCCAGCCTCGGACTCGGAGTCGCTGCCAGCATCCTCAACGATCTGCTTGGGAGTCTCCTCCTCAACGATCTCTTCAACGCGGGGGTCGGCCATTTTGTGAATTAAGGGAGCCTAAAAGGGCTATTAAACCGAGGGTCAGCAATTCGCACTCTAGGACTGCTTCGGTCGCTTGGAGGCTCGAATTGTGGCCCACGAAACCGGAGGGTCCCGCCCACGAAAATCGCAGGAATTCGCCAGTTCCGAGCGTAGAAATCATCTTGACGGCCAGAGATACAATAATAACGTACCTAGACACAGAAAAGATTACTGTGGTGGATGAAAGGGTTTTTTGGTCTGGTTGAGGTTGGAAAGGCGCAAAGCTGTGTGAATGTCATGGCTGCCGAAAATCGTTAGCGAGCTGATTGGGTCCCTCACGAGGTTTCCCCCCCAGACGCCGGGACACACAAGCGACTCAACTACAAACTATGTTGTATGTATGTATGTATCAACGAATGTATATCTCCAACGTTACATGACCATATCCCGACAATCTCTATCGGAATTGCTCTATTTGAATTCTAGAATCGCAACAATACAACAAAATTAAATAAAAGCGCTTGGTCATGAAATTACGTTTGTTTTTTTTTGTTTTGTTTTCCCTTCATGGTTTTTGTGGATCATTCCCCAATTTCCATTAAAAAGGCATGGCCCGCTGATGTCAAGATAAGTAAACCCGGAGTCTCCTTAATACTAGTAGAAAGGTGTGCCGTCTTCTGTGACGTACGAGCGTAACCTCTTGGTCAGGATATCAAGGTTCTCGAATCATTTTATGCTGCCAATGATAATGCGTACAGCGTCTTTTTTGCTGAAACCAAATAAACCCTCAGCAATGTAAAACCGTCCCAAAGGCACTCCCTTCACACTATGCACCGAGCCTCATGAAGTAAACCATCTACGACTTAGGAGCAGCCGCCCTGAGCTTGGCGTGAGCCTTCTGGACCTCGAAGCGAGCCTGTAAAGAGTCCATAATGTCAGCCTTCCATCCTATTCCTATTGTCCGATCCCAGCGCAAGGCCCAATAGATGTTCCTAGCCCTAGTCTCATCGTGCGAAAACCATCAATGGGGACCATCCACGTACCTGCTTCCGGAGGCGCAGGACCTTGAAACGCTCGAAGTCGGTGAGGTTCTTCCGGCGCTCAGCACGCTCGGTCTTCTGGGCGAAGCTGGACTGAGCCCACTTGCTGTCGATCTCGCTCTTCTGCCAGAGCTTCTTGACGGGGCCGGTACCGGCAGCACGGGGAAGCTGGGGAATGACGAAGTGGGTGAGGGTGGCGTGGGCGAGAGGAAGAACGTGACGGGGGACGATCTTGTTCTCCTCGGTGGAAGGACCGTCAACCAGAACCTATTTCGTTGCGACACTTGGTCAATATCATGTCCATCTCCAAGTATCCTTTTGCCCATCCTAATCGCGGCTGTCCCATCTCTCGCTCGGATCAAAAACATACACGTCTGTGGTCGACAATCTCCACGATGGTGGCCAGCTTGCCGGTGAAGGGGCCGCGGCGGATCAGCACCACACGGCCAATCTCAACGAGCTTCCATTGAGCGATCTTGATATCGATATCGGCCATGGCGAAGGCTTCCTAAAAAAATGCCAAAAAGGACGGTCTCAGTAAAACAGATTCCACTGGGACGATAGACGGGCGCATCAATCACTCACGGTCGACAGATCCGGGAGGTCGGTGGAGGAATTTGTTGTCGAAGTGGTCGGGGTTGTCGAAGGGTCGTCCGAAACGCACAAGTTCGCTCTGGCTGCTGGAGTCGCGAATTTCGGTCTTGCGGCGTTGCCCACAGTTTCTCGCTTAACAGCCAGTCGGAGCCCGTCGATGGAACCTACGGTGCGGACTAGGGCTGCTTCGTTGTCTTAGCGCCGCCTTCGGATCCTCCTATTCTTCCGCTTCCGATCCCGTTGCATTTAAGCTTCATTTTCTCTGGCGGACTTTTTTCTTTTTTGTTCCTGCAAAGCAAAAGCTTCAGCTTTTCTTCTGTCTTCATCAAAACATAATGCTGTTTTGGGCAAAGATTCACGATCAGCTGGCCTCCAACTAACTGTCAACAATCTACAGCATAATCCAACTGGTATGTATAACACGGACTTTTCTTATTTCTTCTCCCACACTCATATGATGCGGTAATTTGCGATTGACCCGGTGTCTGTGAAGCTCTCGCCGGAGTTTCGATACAGCACTGAAGTATGATATTTAATCTTCTTACATATTCTGATACTCACAACTTCACTTGATTTTTATCACTCCATCTTGGATATGGGATCATGCTAACATGCCAAAGACTTCACAGGTTTATTTTTCTCTCTCTCCATCTTCGCTTCTCAACCATTATCTCTCAGTCTGGAAAAGGTACGTTCAGAATCTCTCTACCACCTACCCTGTTCCGAGGAAGACAACTTTGCACTGCCTAGATAGTAATTGATGCTTCTGGCAATGATATTACCCTCATCACCAAGATCTCTGATGGAACACCCCCAATCTCACATTATGATCCCGTTTTACCTTCGGAATCTGTGTCTAACGTTCAACGTTATAGGTTTTAATCCACTGGACTTTGATAGCATTCATAGATAGCATGAAAATGATATTCGGATTCCACAGCATTGCACCATTGCCTGATAATTTTTTGTATATGTGTAGACCTTGAAGGCGGTAAAAAAATAACGTGATCATCACTGCACTCTTGATACTTTCCATCTAAGCCAAGAGATAAAACCGTCAAATATCCCCAATTCCCATTATGTCTCCTTCCAAAGCGGAGCTTGTTGCCGAAACACTACTCTCGCCCATCGGCCTCGAGCTAGTTTCCTGTAGGGTCCTCCAGACCCTCTGGGCAGGCTATGGCCATATATGCGCAATCACGGCGAAAGCTTCAGGAAACCACACGCCTCTTCGCTCGAACATTACTTCTTGCAAACTAAAAGAGGATGCGAACGGGCACCTCCACCTCATTCTCAAACTCATCTCGCCCCCAAAGAGCGATGGCGATGAAGGCCACCTACGTAAAATGCTCAGCTACGAAGTTGAGCAATATTTCTACCAAGAAATCACCCCATCTCTGGACCAGGATGTTGCCGTTGCAAGTTGCCTAGCGTCCACGGGACACCTGCAACAAGACAAGAGCGAGGAACTCCAGGCTTGACTGCCACCATTATGGAGGATCTCCGTCCAAAGTTTCCCGTTGCAGGGGAAAAGCGAGCGCTTCTCAACCAACAACAGGTCCACGCCGCCATTGAGTGGCTGGCAAAGTTCCATGCCAACACCTGGCGCCTGCTTCCAGATGACCTCGATAGATATCTCCTGCCGCCACTGGAGGAGATGCAGAGGAGGAGAGCTGACCCAGCTGCAGGCGGTGATAAACTCTGGTTAAATGGGGGCTACACCTACCTCGCGACTCGGCAGAAGGAACTGGCCTCGTTAGTAGAAGATACAGACTCAGAGTGGTCTGCTGCGCTCTGTGAGCCGCCACAAGGCTCAGCTTTGTCGATTGCGGATCAGGTGGCTGATTTTCTCACACCTTGTGGCCGGCCCTATGAAAGTTATATCCACGGTGATGTCAAATCCGAGAATCTCTTTACTACCAGCTCAGGGGATGAAGTAGCCTTTTTTGACTTTCAGTACGTTGGATTGGGCTTGGGGGTTTGCGACCTTGCCAAGCTGTTTACCTGCTCCGTACCGTTGGACATGCTCACCGACGACTACGATGTCCCTGACGAGCTCGCCATGGACGATGGTGAAAGGGCCTTGCTGGAGCGCTACCGGGAAACTCTATTGGCCCGTCGCCCATCGAGAATGAAGGAATTCGATTACCCCATGAACCTTCTCATCCGCCACTGGGAGACTGCGCTTGTGGATTGGTGTCGTTTCCAAGCATCGTGGGGTTTCTGGGGCAATACCGAATGGCTCGAGGCCAGGGTTCGATCGATCCTGAGGGATCAAGCTTGGCGAGAGTGGCTACGAAATGAAAGTGCCTAGTTCCTTGTTCAGGAATGCTGAGACTTATCTCAACTTCACGTCGCCAGCCGTTGGAGCAAAAAAAAAAAAAAAACCTAACTAAGCTCAGTGACCGAAGATCGTTTTGGGGGGCACGAAGACCGAGAATGCTAGAGTAATATAACATCTAGATTATAGAACGTGGGTACTTTTCTTGAGAGGTCACGATTTCAAGGCATGGGCTAGTGACTCGTACCCACCAAGTCAATTTGAGTAGGTACATTTTACGTAGGCAATATAAGGTCTAGAATCTATCAGAACATCAAGAGAGTATCCGCCCAAATTCGCTTGTATGCTGAAACATGATATAACACAGCTGAAATTATCTAACATCTTTACATAGCATCCGTAACAAAAAGTCACTCACAAGAACCGATTTTCTCACTGATTTATGCTATATCTGTTTTTTTTTTTTTTTTTCGTGAGGGCGTCTCTCGTTATTGGCAAGTCCAGTGGGGGCCAATATCTCTATTACGACGCTGCCCCAGCTACGTTCGAAGCAGTTGGGCCCTCCCGGCTCAACACCCACATGAAGACAAATTGGATCACATAAGAATAGATGAACAGGAATTGGGTGCGACGGTTGCGTTGCGACCGGGCGACGGTGTGCATCGATCCCGTGCGTGCGTCGCTGGCTGAGTCCGGAAGGAGGACGTATTTCAGAGAACGAAGCTAGATAGTAGATTAGTCGATTGGTTCGGCAAGGTCCGAATCACAAGAGACTTACCAAGAAGAACGCATTGGCTAGGAACGTGTAAATGAACACAACCCAGCCGACCCAGCCACCAGTGCCTCTTCCCGGAGTCAGAACCTCCGACGTCACCAGTGTGATGATGATGCCCACGAACTTATAGCCCGAGTAAGCCACGAGATCTAGTAGCTGCGACTCATTGTTGATGCTGAGAATATACGTGGCCAGCTTTAGACAAAGGATCTCGAATACGATAACTGCAATAGCTGTGGTCGTGATCGAACCAAGCAGCTCGGGGTGGAAGTTGCCTCTGAACCCTGCCAGCATTGCCGATAGGAGGATATATGTGACGAGAGCCATCACCGGAATATACATATCGGGTGAGTTCAGGTCATCGCGAGGGGGAAGGAACATGGTCGAGTATTGCTGATGGGAGATCTGGCCGTTGGGGCCTGCGGATGCCGCCGTGACACGGCTTTGCTGACGAGACCAAGGTTTGTGTCTCCACGGAAAGAGTACCAGGGCCAGTTTATTCAATACATAAGAGTTGGACACATTGAAATAGTGTTTTAGGGCGGGAATGGAAACGTAGCGGTTGAGCTGACAAGATAATTAGTTGCAAGAACTATAAGCCTGTCCTTGGGTTTCCCATAGCCTACATTCTGTTCCATATATTCTTGGCCGGCCATCATGGCGGTCTTCCCGACCTGGAATCCCATCTGCGCAGTGGGATCGTTGATGAAACCTCCAAACCCAGGGGCGTATGTCCCACTACCGCCTTGCGCCGGAGCGGGTTGATATGGGTTGTTGCCATAGCCAGACGTCTGAGACTGCTGAGATGTCGGAGGAGGTGGAGAGCGCATCATAGGGACGGTGGAAACATGCTGAGGGACGGGATGATGGAGCGGAGGTGACTGTGCTGGCGGCGGAGCGAAAGACTGGCGGTACATGTTTTGTTTTTTCTAGAGAGAGAACAGAGAGGACAATCAAACAAATGAGAGCGCTGCGTTAATTAAGGAATGTCTAAGTGGAATAATTGTGCAGAGTCGGAGAAGAGTGAAATCGTGGTCGGAGTGGTGTTTATACGTGGCTGAAGTCTGGGAGGTGAAGTTCGAGCTCCGTGCTTGAACTAAATGGCTTTCCGCCCGCAGGATAATTTCCCCACAGTGCGGATCTTCTTACCTTCTCATACAGCTCATACTTTCCACTCCACGACACAATTCATATTTAGCAAAATATAGTCGACATGTTGGAAGCGTTCGAGATTCTCACCACCTCCGGGGTAGTTTTATGGTCCAAGTCCTACGCCCCCGTTGGCGCCCACGTTGTTAACAGCCTTATCAATGATGTCTTTATCGAAGAAAAGGTCCAGCTCCAAGCGGCGAATGCGGCCTACCCAATGTACAAAAAGGAAAAGTATACATTGAAGTGGAAGAAAGTCAAGGACTTTAACCTGATCTTTGTGGTATGTCCTGGTCTTACAGCATGCTACTATCGCCGCTAATCTCGAGTTCGCCACAGGCCGTGTATCAATCACTTCTGCATCTTGGTTGGATCGACAAGCTTCTGGACAATATTTCGACCTTGTTCATCGACATCTACAAAGACCAACTGCGGAGTACACGTGCGAGGGTGATTGAATATCCTTTTGATAAGTATTTCGAACAACAAGTTAGGGAGCTTGAAGATAACTCGGCGCCCATCAATTCGGAGGGTGTCGTGACTGGTGCGGAGTACAAGAAAGACCCGCTTGTCTCGTCGGAACATGGTGGCCCTCCACCCCCATCTGTGCCCGGCCTTCTTCAAGGTATGTGCATCTAGATCTTTTGATTATGGATCGAGGAAGTATGCTGACACCCATGAAGCGCAGCGACACGCTGTGCCGGGCGTGGCGACCTCTGATGAGGGTACGCCACCCCAGACCCCAGATACTTCTCGATCTACCACGCCTGTCGCGAGCCAGATTTTGACCGCTAGAGGAGGACCTGGTGGCCGGGTTTCTCGTCGTGCGCGCAAAGCGGCGAACTCGAGCGCAAACGTTTCATCAGGGGATGAGAGCATCCGCAAGGGAAAGACACCAAAAGGAGGGAAAAAGATGCGCAAATGGGATGCTGATGGATATGCCGATGAAGATGATGGTACAGTTCTGGATTATTCCGCACCGGCTGATGGCGATGAAGCAGCTGCTCCAGCCGTGGAAGGTGTTGCGCAGGACTCCTGGGGTCACAGAACTGGGAAAGGACAGTTCGTTCTGAAAGACCTGGGTGATGAAGTCCATTCTATCCTGGAGAATGCGGACAGTGAAAAAGCAAAGAGCACGACGACAGGAATCGTTGGCTCGGGATTCAATGCTATCGGTGGCCTTTTCCGCAACATTGTAGGTGGGAAGGTCTTGACTGAATCTGATTTAGAGAAGCCCCTGAAGGCTATGGAGGACCATCTTCTGAAGAAGAACGTGGCGCGTGAAGCAGCGGTCCGCCTATGCGACGGTGTGCAGCGGGAACTTATCGGAAAGAAAACAGGAAACTTTCAGAGTGTGGATGCTGCATTGCGCCAGGCCATGGAGTCGTCTTTGCGGAAGATACTCACCCCGACATCCTCGCTGGATCTGCTACGGGAGATCGATACCGTCACATCTCCGACAAGTAAACAGCAATCCCCCCGTCCTTATGTCATCTCCATAGTCGGGGTTAACGGTGTTGGAAAATCGACCAATCTGGGCAAGATTTGCTACTTCCTGTTGCAAAACAACTATCGCGTCCTGATTGCGGCATGCGATACCTTCCGCTCTGGCGCGGTCGAGCAACTTCGTGTCCACGCCCGGAACTTGAAAGAACTCAGTGTTCGCGAAAGCGTTGGGCAAGTTGAGCTGTATGAGAAGGGATATGGTAAGGATGCAGCGAATGTGGCCAAGGATGCTGTTGAGTACGGAGCTGCCAACAAATTTGACGTTGTTTTGATTGATACTGCTGGGCGGCGTCATAACGACCAGCGCCTTATGTCTTCCCTCGAGAAATTTGGCAAGTTCGCCAAACCGGACAAGATCTTCATGGTTGGGGAAGCTCTGGTTGGCACTGATAGTGTGATGCAGGCGCGTAACTTCAACCAGGCATTTGGCACCGGCAGAAACCTGGATGGGTTCATTATCAGTAAGTGTGACACTGTCGGGGACATGGTCGGTACACTGGTGAGCATGGTCCATGCAACTGGCATACCCATTGTATTTTTGGGAGTTGGGCAGCATTATGGAGATTTGCGAGGACTCAGTGTTCCCTGGGCTGTTAATTTGTTGATGAAGTGATGCGCGCAATGGTTGGCTCTTTCTTTGTTTATCTAAACAAACTGATCTATTGCAATTTCATTCAAGCACATGTATCTATTTCAATCACTAATTGCTTTGAGATGATGCATATCAATGTTCATATTGATCTTTATGATAATCTTAGACATGACTGAACTCTCAGTCGACTAAGGTGTAGAACAATAGCACAGTCTTTTACTACTGATTCCAAAAGAAGCTATATGAATGAAAGAAGGAGAAGGAGAGACAACGTAGACCGTTGTTGAGATAGAAGAAAAGAGGAAGGAAAACAAAAAGGAAGAAAGCAGCCCAGCTTATCACAAAGATATTATTAATAAAGAACAAAAAGCAAAAAGATATGACCTACGCAGGGATCGAACCTGCAATCTCTTGATTCGTAGTCAAGCGCCTTGCCATTGGGCCAGCAGGCCTTATTGAAGGTTTTGTCCGTAAGTTTGGTAGATAAGGGGCGGCGAAGTATTCGGTGGTCCAAAGTGGGCTTCTTTGTGAAGAATAACTCCACACAGTGGAGCAAACGCGAAAGGGTGGATACTAAAGAGCATTGGTGACAGGGCATGTGTTCTACAGCATCCACCATAAGAAACGGCACTATTTATATTGACCTTGGCTTATTGTTTGTATAATGGACTTTAGTCTTCATACCTTTGATGATGAGACTCAAAAGATAGAATCGAGTGGGGGATGATGTCATGTACGGAAAAAGGCATATGGCACGTGCAGAGCGCGTGGGTGAAACAAGACTTTGGTTTGCTTGGGCTTGGCTTGGCTCTGAATTCCATTGTCGGGGTCAGCAAAGACACGGAGTGCATTGTATGTGTTCACCTGACCCTGGGGTTTCCTCACAGGGTCAATGCAACCTGAGCCGCTTCTGCAGGCCATTTACCACCAGTCAAATGCTTTACAATGTTAATTTCAAGGGCTTTGTGAATGGACTTTGACGCGGGATGCAGCGATGACTCAGCACAATCC